AAAAGACATAAATTATTGGGGCACCTGGGTGGCTCAGTTGGTTAAGCATCTGGCTTCAGCTCAGGTCATGATCTTGGGGTCTTGTGATCAAACCCCTGCATAGGTTTCCCTGCCCAGCAGGGAGTCTGCTTCTCCCTCTGCCCTTTACCCTGCTCATGCTCTCGCTCTCAAATAAATAAATAAATAAAATCTTAAAAAGAAAACCCCTAAATTACTTAAAAAAATCTTCAATGTCTCCCCATCACTTACAAAGTAAAGTACAAACTTCTAAGCACAGCACAGGCCCTCAATTATTTGGCTTATGCCTATCTCTCTAGCCTAATTTCCTATCTCTTAGCCTCCCCATTTTTCTTCAGCCAGGCTGAATTACCTAAAACATAGGTCATTCTGCTTCTGATCCATTGCCAATTGGTCTGACTTCAACCTCTTGGTTAGGACCCAGTTCAAAAGCGTTCTTTTCTTGTGAAGCCATTCCTGATCCACTCATGCAGACCCCTGCTAACTTCGACTTACCACTTTACCTCTAATATGTTGCTATTACTTTTTTAAGATTTTATTTATTTATTTTACAGGGAGAGAGAACAAGCAGGCCCTAGGCAGAGGGAGAGGGAGAAGCATGCTCCCGCTGAGCAGAGAGCCCCACCCAGGTGCCCCTGGTGCTATTATTTTATTTGCCTAGAGTATTGCAATTATTTGTTTACGTCAACATTTCTGTTTATGTTGTGATTGTCTTGAGGAGATACATGCAAGTACAACAGTCTTCCTTTTATTTTGTTACCAAATATTTTCCAACATAAACAGCTGTTGTGATTTTTAACAAAGTATACATTCATTAGAATGTTACTGAATCCAAGGTAACATCCAGTCCTGCAGCAGTTTCCTTGCTCAGCAGGGAGCCTGTTTTTCCTTCTTCTCCTTCTGCCTTTCCCCCTGATTGTGTGCTCTCTCTGTGTGTCAAATAAATAAAATCTTTAAAAAAAATGTTACCAAGGAGCACCTGGGTGGCTCAGAGCATCCTGCTCTCTGCTCAGCAGGGAGCCTGCTTCTCCCTCTCCCTCTTCCTCTTCCTGCTGCTCTGGCGCTTGTGCTCTCTCTCTTTCTCTCTAATAAATAAATAAATAAAATCTGAAAATAAATGTTACCAAATCTGTAGTAGCTTTTCTATAGTTTTTTTTTAAAGCTTTTATTTATTTATTTGACAGAGATCACAAGTAGGCAGAGAGGCAGGCAGAGAGAGAAAGGAGGAAGCAGGCTCCCCGCAGAGCAGAGAGCTCGATGCGGGGCTCGCTCCCAGGACCCTGGGATCATGACCTGAGCCGAAGGCAGAGAGGCTTTAACCCACTGAGCCACCCAGGCACCCCAGCTTTTCTATAATTTATATTTTTTCACTGGAGACACTAAAAACCATCATGTGGGTGTCTATAAAATATTTTATTTTTTAATATTTCATGTTAAAAAGTCCTCATAGATCTTTATGCATTTATATGGGAAGAGAGCTAAAGTATTTTTTAAAGTGAGAAAGTCATGGCTCAAAAAAATATGTATACCTTAGCTTAATCCTATGTATATTAAAAAAGTATAAACATTTCTTTTTGACTAGGTAAATACAGACATAGAAAAATAGAAATGGAAGAAAGTGGTCATAATTGTAACCAGAGGGAGAGATTTTTCTCTTTATACTCTTGGGTATTGTTTTTTTCCCCATGAGGAGGGAAATAAATGTTTTTCAGGAATAGAGGTGATATTTTTGTTGTTATATTAGAGGTGTTACTTATTCTCAAAAAGTTTGGGAAAAATTGGTTTAGAAATGTCCAATATGGTAGCCACTAGCCATATGTGACTATTTAAATTTTAGCTGATTAAAATTAAATAGAATTAACAGTTCAGTAACTGAGTTGCACTAATCATATTTCAAGCCCTCAATGGCCACATATGTAGAGCCAGTAGTTACTGTACTGAACAAAGCAAATAACATTTCTCCTTTTTTAAAAAAAGATTTTATTTTTTTATTTGGCAGAGACAGAGAGAGTACAGGAAGGGGGAGACTCCCCAGGGAGCAGGGAGCCCTAGGCACGGCTTGATCTCAGGACCTCGATATCATGGCCCCAGCTGAAGGCAGACGTTTAACCTTCTGAGCCACCCAGGCACCCCGCAAATAACAGTTCTGTCCTTGCAGAAGTTCCTACTGGACAGTGCAGGTCTAGATCACTGTGTCCGCACATAATGAGGCACCAGTTGGGACACCCTGAAACCCTGAGTGTGAATTACTTAGCGGGAACGAACTATAACCACCGATCAGTTGAGACTTGTAGCTCTTGATTAACCAAAGGGCTAGTTTGGCATTACTCGAAAATGAAGGTGCCTACCTGACTGGCATCCTACAGAATATAAAATCAGTCTGATGTGGAGGCCTACAATGTATCCATGGCAATAAAGACACCTGTTGAATCTCTTTGTGATTCACAGGAACAATAGTGGTGTTTGGACTGCTGGGTTCCCCGGTTACCATGGAAATAGGTGGTTACAATTGTATTTAATCACAGAAACTAAGTTATCAATCCCCGTCCTCTCCTCCACCCCTTTCTATAATCATAACCATAACCATAGCCATAGTGATGACTGTTTCAGTTGAACTTCACGAGTAGACCTGGCGGCAGACGCAACTAGAAATCTAAGTACGGAATGTCAAGGGCAATCCCTAATGAGGAAGTGTGAAAAAAGAAACATGGCGGGGCATTTTTTCAGAAGGAAAAGGCTAGATCTACCACACGGATACAATGACATTGTTACTCTTGCTTCTTGCACAGGCGCAGTGCAGGAGTTCTCAGCGCACGCCTACGCGCACTTTTTCTCACCTTTTCTTCTCTTTCCACTTTCCTCTCTCTCCTTTTTCGCCCTCTCCTTTGCCTCTACCATTACTTGGTTTTTCAGTCTTTCTGTTAGCCCGATTACGCTCTCCTTCCGACCCTCCATCCCCCTCCCTACCACTTTATCCCCCTCCCCCTTCCTTTACCGTCTCTAGCAGACGACAACTTGCGCATGCGCATTAAATAGAACGCCTCGCTCTTTGTCCCCCATCTGTCGTTCACACGAACTCGAACCTTTCGCGTTCGGTAGCCAATAGGATCGAAGAAATGGCGGAAAAAGGATTCCGCCTCTGGAGATAAACCTTGACTGGCAAGGCAGAAAACCAATCAAGGACGCCAGTTTGTACCCCTTAGGAGGCACCGAGCTCCGTCGTCTCGTTTCCGGCGGTCGCGCGCTCTTTTCTCGGGACGGTAGAGGCCGTGTAGCGTCGCCGTTACTCTGAGGAGAGAACAGTCGGTAGAGGGTGAGTTTTGGGACGACTTAGTTCTTGTTTGAGAGGAGAGCAGGATTTTTTGCGACAGGAGGCTAGGGCGAGGTTAGGTTTGGAGGGAGGTTGGCCGTTCGTTCCAAGGCCCATTAAGGCCTTGTCCCCGCCGCCACACGGCCTCTTCAGCCCACCCGCGGGGGCCCATCGCTTTCCGCTCTCCTTGCTTTCCGTTTTAACCTGGCTCCCATTGCCGTTCTCGCCCCGTTGCTTTGTGCGACTCATCTTCGATTCTGATCCCTGTCAGTAAGTTCCCCAGCCCTTTAGCCACCTTGGGCCTCAGGGTGTGGGGTCTATTATCCGTGAGCCCTGAAGTCGAGCCTGGAGGAGGAGGCGCTTTGTCGGCGCTCCTCCTCTCAGCCTCGCGAGGCCATTAATTCAGAATGAGAAATGGAGGGGGCCCCCAAGAGATGTTTCTTTGTCAAAACTCTAGGCTGGGAAGTTCATCTGCTAGTGCAGACCCCGCGGCTTCCCCGGTCAGGTTCCTGTATGCCCTTTTTTTTTTTTTTTTAAAAGTCTTGTTGTCTAGCTACTCGACCCATTTATAGCATCACTTTTTAAAACGAAAATTAATTTTATGGATTTCCTATTGGGTATTTTCCTCTTGGGGAAACTATTGTTGTCACCTGAAACCTTTCTTCGTGTTCTTAACGGGGAAGTTGAGGTTAGAGACGACTTGGAGGTACTTTGCTATCAACCGAAGTTGGGGTAGGTGTAGGGGGTAAGGTTGCCAGGTAAAATACCGGACGCCCCGTTAAATTTGGATTTCACATAGCAGATTATTTTTAGTATCCGTTTCATAGGGTTTAGTTACTAAAAGATCATTTTTAAAGTCTGAAATTCAAATGTACGTTGTGTATTTTTATTTGATAAATCTGGCAACTCTCATTGCGGGGGCGGGGTACTGACTAGATTTATGCTGTGTTTTTGTCCAACTTTGTTGTTAAATGAAAGGTCTTAAGAAGCTCCTGGAAAAGTACCTTACCATATCAGTGCATTTTGCAGCTTTCAGGCAGATCCATATCCATGCAGCCATCTAGGTCGGTAGATTTTTTTACCAGATTTCCCCCCCACCCCCCAGCTTCCACTTAAAAAAAGTTGATCCTTTTCCTGAAAACTGATTTCAAATATGTGTGATGTAGTGTTTGGTCTTGTACCTAAGCCACATTTATGCAGTAATACTGTGTTCAGTAGCCCCAGTCTTTCTAAACCAGCAGTACATATTTTCTTTCAAGAAAAGTCCTTCATCAGGGTTAGTCTTTGGGATAGATAAGTGGACAAATCCTTGATGCCGATCTTTGTGCTTAGTTCTTAGAGGCCCAGTGGTTGGGGGCAATGAATTTATTGCTCAAGAGAGATTTCTGCACAATTTCCGTATTATGTTGGTGGTCATCATCAGAAATAAGTGATAGGGACAGTACTTACTGAGTACTTGCTCCTTTGTGGGCACTGTTTTAAGTGACTTATACAATACTATTTAGTCTTCACCATTGAATGCCTTCTTGGGAAAGAGTAAACTGGAAGGAAGGATTGTAAAGATTAGCATCGTAGAGACATTTATTCAGAAACACAGTTTGGTTGTAAAAAAATGATTTTTGCTAGAATCCAAAAGAGAAGAGTGTAATTAATGATATTTGTCTAACTACAGCACCAGCTGAATGCAGAAATACGGATAGTGGTTGCCATCTGGAACAAGTGCTGTGTACACGATCTCATTTAGTCCTTAAAATAACCAGCCCTGTGAAGTTGCCATTGTTGCCCACTCCTTACAGGTGAAGAAACTTGAGGCTCAGAAGTTAGGTGACATGGCTAGTCAGTTTGTTGGATCTAAACTTTGAAATCAAGGTGAGTTTGATTACTAAGCTTGTAGCATAGTGATGAGAATGAGCTTTAGAGTTAAATAGTTGTGAGTTCCACTCCTTGCTCCATCACATTTGGGTAACCTTAGATGGACATCAGTTTTCTTACCCAGGAGATAATAGTTTTGAGCTCTGAGTGAGATAGTGCAGACTTAGCAGTGCCTGGCATATAATGATTGGTAAATATCTGATACTATCATCTTCACTACCAGACTACACATCTAAAACCAAAAATAACCTCCCTTGAAGTTACTTTACATGGTTTTAGAACATCCTAGCACTTTTTCTTCAAGGAGGTAGATCATTTCTACTAAAAAGTTATAAAATGGCCTTTTTGAAAAGGAGTGGTGAAATTTGGTTACGATGTGTATACAGAGTTTTTAATATTTGAGTTTTGAGTGGATCTCTATGAGGATTTTTATAAATGTGTAAATATAAATTGTGGATTCCTGAATGGGATGCGAGATACTGAGGCTGGGGCCACTGATTCCCAAATTAAAGGCTGGAGAAAAAAAGAGGGTCCTTGGATTCTAGCCAGGGGTAAGAAGGTAAGAACCTAGTTGGAGAAATGGCTGTGAAGATAACTCAAGTTTCTGCTATAGGCCAGTTTGGAGTCAGGGGAAGGGAGGTGTTTAATAGCTGGGACTAAAATACTTAAAAGATCTGAATCTAATGCCAACTTAACCCCATCCCCAAAAGTTGCTGGGGTTGACTTCATAAATTTTATATGTTTTAATTTCCTATTTTTATGTCTTATTTTTAGAAACATGATTGCCCTTTTTTTTAGAGGAAAAAATGCTGCACTGTGGGTAAGACTAACAAAGATAGATGCGATTATTCTAAGAATTTATTATAAGGAAGTAGTCAAAAAGAGCTATAAGCAAAAAGATGTTTACTGCATCATTCTAATAGGAAAAGGGTGAAAACAAATGTCTCATGGTAGGGGGTAGTTTAGTAAGTTAGTATATATCCACATGGACTTTGGGTAGCTGTTAAAAATTAAAAGTGTTGACATGGAATTTAAGAAAAACAACATACAGTGCTGCAATATAACTTCATTATATTGAAATGATAATGTATGCTTTGGAAGGTAAATAAGTAAAAATGGAAATTGTGGGAGGAATATTTACTCATGGATGTGCCCAAGATTTAACTATGAACATTGTTTATAAATAATGGTGAAAATAGGAACAACCCAAGTGTCCCAACACCATAGGTGCTTGGTTGACAGCCAAATACTGTGTCCGTTAAAAATTAATGTAGAAGAAAAAAATAATGTAAAAGATTGAGTGACATAAAAGCTCTTCATCATGTAATAAAGTAGAAAAGGCAGGTTGTAAAAATAGTCTTTATAATATTTCATTTAGAGTACATGCAAATAAATCAGTGACCGGAAGGGTAAGTAACTGACTTCTGGTGGTGGATATTTTTGTTTCTGTTTTCTATATTAAAGATAGATTTGAATAAAATCTTTTAGAAAAGTGGGGGCGCCTGGGTGGCTCAGTGGGTTAAAGCCTCTGCCTTCAGCTCGGGTCATGATCCCAGGGTCCTGGGATCTAGCCCTGCATCGGGCTCTCTGCTCAGTGGGGAGCCTGCTTCCCAGTCTCTCTCTGCCTGCTTGTGATCTCTGTCAAATAAATAAATAAAATCTTTTAAAAAAAAGATATATTTTGTAATAGGTACCTTGTTAATGAGAAACATAAGTTTGATGAAATGATACAAATAAGATTCAAGTCTTGGCTTATTGTGTCAACTCTCCAGTGAGGCTTACCTCAGCTCTGTTTAAAATTGCAGTCTTATCGGGCACCTGGGTGGCTCAGTTGGTTAAGTTTCTGCCTCCAGCTCAAGTCATGATCCCAGGGTCTTGGGATGGAGTCCTACATGGGGCTCCCTGCTCAGCAGGGAGTCTGCTTCTTCCTCTACACTGCCCCACCCCCCGCCCCGCTCCTGTTCTCTCTCTCAAATAAATACAATCTTTTTAAAAATTTCAGGCTTACCCCTTTCACTCCCCTATCGACTTCGTCCCTGTTTCTTTATTTTCTAGTAGCACTTATTTCTTATTAAATACTATGTAATTATTGGGGGGGGTTGTTTTTGTTTGTTTTTGGTTTTTTGGTGGTTTTTTTTGGTCTAACTGGAAGGTAAGCACAACTGAAGGCAAGAATCTTTTCCTTTGTTCATTGATGTATCCCAGGCACCTATAATTGTTCCTAGCAAATAGCATTCAGTGAATATTTGTTGGGTGAATTAGTAAAAAAAAAAATTAGTAAATAATGATCAATAAGCTATAAACAGGGCAGTTTTCATTTTTGCCTGCCTTCTGTTCTAGTCTACATGCATTTTTGAGGGGGAAAAAAACCATTTCCTGTTTCTTAAACCTTTCCCTTTTAAAACCTCAAACATTTTTCTTTTCTTTAAAGATTTTATTTATTTGTAAGAGACAGCATGAGTGGGGAGAGGGACGGGAAAGCAGATGCCCCACTGAGCAGGGAGCCAGGACTCTGGGATCGTAACCTGAGCCACTCAGGTGCCCCAAAATGTTGAACATTTTCACATGTACATGGTCTTCATAATTTTTAATGCTGTGTAACACTCCACTGAATAGATGTACCATAATTTATTAAAAACTGTACCTCTGATTTTGGGTATTTTAAGTCATTATTTTGTTACTGTAAAGATCATCATAGTGACTTTTTCATGGATATGGTTTTTAAATTTTAAAATTACATTCTTTCGGGGGAGGGCAAAGGAAGAGGGAGAGAGAAGTCCTAAGCAGTCTCCACACCTAGCACAAGAGCCTTACAGGGGACTGGATCTCAACAGCCCTGAGATCATGACCTGAGCCAAAATCAAGAGTCAGATGCTTAACCTGAGCTGCTCAGGCACCTCTAAAATTATATCCTTAGGGTAAATTTCTAGGAATAGAATTTCCTCAGTTACAGAATGTGAACAATTTGATAGCTCTTGTTATTACTTGTTTTATGAAACAAGCATTTGATAAAGTTGTTTACGTTTTGGAGGGATATGATAAGAAATGTATTAGGAAAGCTTCTATATACATAAAAAGTATTCTCATATACCCCAGAATCAGTAATTATCAAGTCATTGTCACATTTTGTTTGAGAAATCAATTTTCTCTATTTTAGAGGAATCATGCAATGTTACCAATAAATGTTGATGAAGAGGTCCTTGTCAGCATTTTTCCTTGAGCTAAATTCTGACTAGGTCTTGTTTAGGGGAAAGGATTTAGGATTGGCTTATGCCCTTTTATTGCTGGTGAACTGTCCTTAAATGAGGAAGATGGTCCTCAGCTTGTTAACTAGATCAATTAGAAAATTTCCATTTTAAAGCCATCAGTTTTTGAATTCACTCTGGATTGTACCAGGAATTTTCATTTTGTTTTAATCTTAGATTAATTTTTAGGTGAGATTTAACATGATTATATATTCATCTTTTTATTTGATGCTTTTCATTGCTTTAGTAGTCATTTATCCTCATTGTGATTAATAACCATATTTACTGAATACTTACTATATTTCAGTACTAAGCTAGTGTTTTCACATGTTTATGAATCCTTATAGCCATCTTGAGAGGCATTTTTATTAGCCTCTTGGTAACAGCTTAAATTTGTGCAGGAGTGATTTACTAAGTAGTACATAGCTAGTGAGTACTAGGACCATGCTTCCAATCTAAGTATGTCTAACTGCACAGCCCATACTTTCTCTACTGTTCATTCCACAATATCTACTGTAGGTTGAGACTGCAGAGTACCATGTAACAAGATTTAATAGTCCTTGTCCTTGTGATAAGTAGAATATATTTCCCTCATTATGTTTCAGTATTATGATAGAGCTAGTTTTTAGGCAGTAGCTTCTTTGGGGAAAGTAGTTTCCAATTAATGTATAGAACTAGTGAACTGGAAGTTTCTTCAAGCTACTCTGATGCAAGCTGTTCTCATTTAGTACTTGTCTAGTTTCTCTGTGCAGCGTAACTGCTAAAGTCTAGTGGTTTTTAGATTTTTGAGTGGTGCAACTTTTCCATACTTGTTTACAATAACCAGTTTGAATCTGGCGAAAGCCAGGATATCAGAGATGATTAGTGACACGTAAATCATCAGGAAGGTGACTGATTAGTCCTGAATGTATTTGGCAGTCCACATTTTCCTTTTAGGGTGCAAAAATGCAGAGCAATAAAACCTTTAACTTGGAGAAGCAAAACCATACTCCAAGGAAGCATCATCAGCATCACCACCAGCAGCACCACCAGCAGCAACAGCAGCAGCCGCCACCGCCACCGATACCTGCAAATGGGCAACAGGCCAGCAGCCAGAGTGAGTACATGCTTGTAGGGGGGTCAGAATAGGTTCCCTCTTGGGAAAGGTTTCTTGGTTTTTAGATTAGTCTCTTGGGCTTAAAAAGGAATAAGCCTTTGTGGCACAACTTTTGCTCTTTTTTCTCCTATTTACCTCTTAATACTTAGGATAGAAAAGGGTGATTCACTCAGAGGAGCAGCAGACATGTTGGGTAGCAGATGAGTACAAGTTGCTGTGTTGTGTTCGCGTATTCTGCTAAACAGATGTCTGTGTGTTTTACCTCAGAGCTCGGTTCTTAGAGGTAATCATCAGATGATTGGTAGTTAGAAAATACAGAACAAGTCTTTAAGGGAAAAGAAGTCTGGTACTGAGTGTTATACTTTAAGCCTGGGTTCTGTGCCAACCCGTTTTTAATCAGAGTAAACATTCTTTAAAGGCATGTTCCATTCATTCAGCAAACTTTGAGTACCTATTGTGTGCCTCTAAAACTAGAACCAACCTCAGCCCTCTTTTATTTCCAGAGATCCCTACAAAGAATACTGTTTCCTAACTCATTTCCTTTCATTCCGTTAACCCAAGCATGAAAGAATGGGAACTGTTAAGGTTTTGAAGATTGGTGAGAGATAGGAAAAATGGAGCAATTATGTTTCAATTTTATTTTTTAAAGACTTTATTTATTTGAGAGTGAGTGAAAGTGCATAAGTAGGGGGAGGGACAGAGAGAGAGGGATAAGGAGACTCCTCACTGAGCAGGGAAGCCCAGTGTGGGGCTCGATCCCAGGACCCTGGGATCATGACCTGAGCCAAAGGCAGACACTTAACCGATTGAGCCATCAAGGCACCCCTATGTTTCAAATTTAAAAAACTGATCTCTTCTGACATAAGTCTCCTTGACTTGCTTAATTTTCTCTTTGACCAATAGCTTCTGTATTGTCTTTCTGTCTCTTAGTCTGGGTGGCTCCTGACCCTTAGTAGAGCTATTGAGAAGTATTCCCAGATGTCTGCATACTGCTTTGACATTTTAAGGTCCAATTTACTGATAAGTGGTTATTGGATAGATTATTTTGGGAAATGGTGTTTGACTTCTTTACAGCAATTGGGTTTCCTAATCTAGCAGCAGTTGTACCTCTTTGAGAATGTGACTGTAGATCTCTTTGCCCAATCTTTTGAGTGACTTTGTGTATTCTCTCAGATGAAGGCTTGACTATCGACCTGAAGAATTTTAGGAAACCAGGAGAGAAGACCTTCACTCAACGTAGCCGGCTCTTTGTGGGCAATCTTCCTCCTGACATCACTGAGGAGGAGATGAGGAAACTATTTGAGAAATATGGGAAGGCAGGCGAAGTCTTCATTCATAAGGATAAGGGCTTTGGCTTTATCCGCTTGGTGAGCAACAATGGGCTTTTAGAGTATGTGCTCTGAAAGGTGGGGAAGCCGGGGAATGATGGATATGGAAAATTGGGCAGTGGAAATAATTCTCAAATGGTCTGTTTGTTAAATGTTTAATAGATATAGTTGGTAGAACAGGACAGAAGATACATGTTTTATTTTTATTTTTCCTCATAGGTTTTTGTTTTGTTTCAAGGGCAACATAGGTTTATTTGTCTAGGACACTGAGACTAAAATATGTTCTTTGGAACTTCTGTTTTAATTGGTAAATTTCAAACATACGGAGGTAGACACAATAGTATAATGAACCTATATATACTTCATGCCCAGCTTTAATAATTATCAACTCAATTTTATTTTATCTTAGTAATGATTAAGGTTTATATAATTTATTTCCCAAGTTCTTGCCTATGTATCATCTCACTTAAGACTTCTTGAAACTATGAAGGGACAGTTTTATTCATACCTATTTTTAAAAATTTTTTAAGTTGTGTTAAAATACACATAAGATTTATCCGTTTTTAAGTGTAGATCTTTTTCATAAAAACTAATTTGATTAGGAAACATGTTTAAGTATATGAGGGAGGAACTTTTCTAAGCATTCTCTACGTAAACAAGGAACATAATGTGTTAGCAAGTTCACTAGATACCGTGGTCAGAGCTAGTTTTCATTCCAGATCTACCATTAACTCAAGATTACATGGGCAGGTAATTTTTTCTGGGGTTCAAGGTTCCTCTTTAGTAATATGAGAAGGGGTTTCCATTAGGGTCTATGGTTCTAAAGAGGTCTCATGAAGGGAATACATGATTTTCGTTAAACTTGTATGTAGCTAGTGAAATTAAAATATTCTGGCTGCTATATTGTAATTATTGTAATAAAATTGTAATTTTATATTACATATATCACATGTATAAAAATTATAATAAAATATTCTGGCTGCTGGTCATTGTCCCAAAGATCTGTTACCACTTGGATGAATAACCTACGATACTGATGACCATATAAGTGGTATTAACTTCTAGAATTTCCAGTTGATTTATTGCAAGGATATCAGAGCAATTAACGATCTGAAAGAGTTATCTGAAACATGTAATTTCTATTCTTTCAGTACTATCAAGGTTTATTTGTGTGTTGTCAGGGTTTGGGGCAGGCGGACATTTTATATTGGGCTGTGCTACTTTTGACTCTTGATGCTGCACATGTGGTCTTTGTCAAACTCGAGTTATTCTAACTTGCCTCTGCTTTATAGGAAACACGAACCCTAGCGGAGATTGCCAAAGTAGAACTGGACAACATGCCACTCCGTGGAAAGCAGCTGCGTGTGCGCTTTGCCTGCCATAGTGCATCCCTTACAGTCCGAAACCTTCCTCAGTATGTTTCCAATGAACTGCTGGAGGAAGCCTTTTCGGTGTTTGGCCAGGTGGAAAGGGCTGTGGTCATCGTGGATGATCGAGGAAGGCCCTCAGGAAAAGGCATTGTTGAATTCTCAGGGAAGCCAGCTGCTCGGAAAGCTCTGGACAGGTGCAGTGAAGGCTCCTTCCTGCTAACCACGTAAGTGAAGGGGTGCTTTTAGAAATAGACCGTAGGTCATTACTTCCTTTGGTGGTGTGGGAAGGTAACCTCTAGGAACCATGTTTTTGTGTTCACTTAAAGACTTTGGATATTATAATTCAACTTTTTAGTAGGGTTTTCAGTGTAATCTTAAATTAGCAGAAATAGTATGAGGATTAAGAAATAAACCCTTCAGTCTTCTAGTAGGTTGTTTAATCAGTCTTAAATCTCCCCTTTGAAGTCTTAGAACTCTGAAAAGTTGTTTTGTGCATGCAGCATCTCTGTGTTTACTTGATGTCATTGTCTGGAGTTTTATAGATACTGGATATTTAAACTGCACTTAAGTATCCTATCTACTTACTTTGAACATCTTTAAAGCTGTATTCTGAGATTTAAAGCCTCATTCCATCCCGTCAACCCCAGATTCCACATAATGCCATTAAAAGAACTTGGTTACTTGGGGCTGGGTGTAAAGACTCCTTCAGAAATATGTTTAATTGTCCAGTCCTGATCCCTAACTACTTAACCATGCCAGTGGTAGGTATAGAGAGGAAGCCTGCTGTAGGGTATAATTTGATTGACGCTGAGCTGCTTTCTCCCAGATTTCCCCGGCCTGTGACTGTGGAGCCCATGGACCAGTTGGATGATGAAGAGGGACTTCCAGAGAAGCTGGTTATAAAGAACCAGCAATTTCACAAGTATGTGGTTCTAATAGATTCCCTTTTAGGTGCTTGTCTATTCTTAAGGAAGCTTGTAAAGGGATGTGTCAAAGAGGCAGGTCTTTCCTATAGCTCTTCTTTGGCCACCATAGTCTTGGCCCTCAGGAAGAATGCAGTGCTTAGGTGGGGGGGAATCTTGGACATAGTTTTAATAACCCAGGAACCTTGTCTACAGGGAGCGAGAGCAGCCACCCAGATTTGCACAGCCTGGCTCCTTTGAGTATGAGTATGCCATGCGCTGGAAGGCACTCATTGAGATGGAGAAGCAGCAGCAGGACCAAGTGGATCGCAACATCAAGGAGGCTCGTGAGAAGCTGGAGATGGAGATGGAGGCTGCTCGCCATGAGCACCAGGTGATGCTGATGAGACAGGGTGAGTATGGTCGTACAGGTCTTCAATCTAGAATGAGAACAAGATGGCTTTCTTCAGGAATGTTTTATATCAGTTGGTAGAGAAAGGCCTAAATCTCTGCTGTTATTCTCTGAAATATTTTGTTGATCTCGGTAGGCAGATGAGCTTGGAGATGTGACAGAGAATGTTGGATTCTGTGGAGAAGGACATAATAGGTGTGACTTCATTTTTGGAATCTGGATAGCTCAGATGGCCATGCGGGGATTATATATCCCCTTTGCTTTCTGGATCTTTCTTTATGGAAAATTATTAGGCCTATATGAGGAGAATGAAGAATGCTCTGGATTGGTCTGTTGTTTTCCTAGACTTGATGAGGCGCCAGGAAGAACTTCGGAGGATGGAGGAGCTGCACAACCAAGAAGTGCAAAAACGAAAGCAGCTGGAGCTCAGGTGACTAGCTCTGAACCCTCTCCTCTGACAGCTGTGACGTAATGTCTCATTCCCTTTTCCTGTTGCCCGGTTGCCTCATGCATTTGTCAATATCGCGTGAAGGCTTCTCATGTTCTCCCTTCGGATGGGAAATATTTCAGAGGCCCGTGATTCTAGGAGTTACCCAGAGCCGCACTAAAGGGAACACAGCTGAGTGCTGCTGTCAGGAGGTTCTTTTCTAGAAGGAGGAATTTTCCCCTGAAGGACACCTTTGGCTTGCTTTAGGGCTGGACACATTTAGCAGTGAGTTTCTTGGAAAGCTCTGATAGCTTTCAGTAGGCTCTTGATCTCCCCTGTTAAGATAATCGGCTCAAGTTCTGAAATGTCTCTGCTAAATACTTTGGTCACTCTCTGTAGGCAGGAGGAGGAGCGTAGGCGCCGTGAGGAAGAGATGCGACGGCAACAGGAAGAAATGATGCGGCGACAGCAGGAAGGATTCAAGGGAACATTCCCTGATGCGGTATATCTCCCATGTGCCCATGATGTACCAGGCCAGTCATGATACGACAAACCCACCATAAGTTGTCCACTAGGACTATAAAACATACCAGTTTTGACCAGTTATGACCAGTTTTTGTATTCTGTGAAACTCATTTTAGAAAGAAGAATTCATAGGAAGGAAAGGTAAGGTGTGAAGGGGAGTTCTTGCTTCACAGGCAACTTAGGATGGAGAGCTAGGGCCAGTGTTACACTGTTTAGACTCATTGATTACATGACATATCCAGTCCTATAGCAGCCTAAACTAGTTCTCTGATGTCCTTGGCGTTACTGTGCAGACTGAGGTCCTTGAAGTCCTTGAAGTTGTCAGCTATCTCTCCCCTTGCCTTTTATCTCTTCTGTTCTAGGAGACGCTGACTTGTGTCCTTGCAATTCTAACCTTGATCTCACCTGCACAACTAGCAAGGAGTTGTTGGTTTTCCTCAGCTTGGCCTCAGTGTACTTGGAATGTGTTACCACTCTGTTTGCTTCCCTTAGAGTGTGGTCCTCAATGTATTGTGAATGGTAGAATGCAGTACTGTCTTGGACTGTCTTGAGTATTTCATATTTTTCAGAGAGAACAGGAGATACGGATGGGCCAGATGGCTATGGGAGGTAAGGACTTAGGAGGTTAATGGCTCCGATTTCCTTTTTTGTATGATTTCTGGTGAACTCAGTGGCTTCCCAGACATAGTCTAGATTTAAGGGGGCTGACATTTCTCTCAGGGAGCATCGTTTTGGGGGGTGGGTAACACATCCTTAGCTCAGAGGTCTTGTTGAATTGTTTTCTCTTACACAGAAAGACTGACAGTGTCTGTCTCCTGTACTGATCACACACTGTTCTGCTTTAGGTGCTATGGGAATAAACAACAGAGGCGCCATGCCCCCTGCTCCAGTGCCAGCTGGTACCCCAGCTCCTCCAGGACCTGCCACTATGATGCCAGATGGAACCTTGGGATTGGTAATACACTGCAGAGCCTTACAGTAATTCTAAATGGTGATAGGAGAAAAGACTTTGATTTCAGTCCCTGTGCCTGCCTAATTTTACTACAGATAATCAGGTTTTAGGGTCACTGGTTTCCATTAAATGTAACCTCAAGGTCTTGATTTTTTGAATTTTGAACAAACTCAGTCTCTATAATTTGTCTAGGAGTTAAGTAAATGCCTTTGACTGGCTTGTCTGACTGTGAGGTGCTATCCTGGGTTAATGGGGGTAACAGGTTTCGCTTAGTTGTTACTGTTTTGGAGGGAAGGCAACTGAAAGTTAGGTATTAATCACATAAAATAGATTAGGAACCCAAAAGGCTTTATGGCTCATACTGAGTTCTAGTTCTAGTGTCAAAATTTTAAAACTGGGTGGGCATAAGATTGCTGAAGAGTAATGGCTTGTCCTTGTCCATATACTTAGTTCAAGAAAAGGGAGTTAAGTAGAACTTACTTAGTCTGGGAATTTGCTGTGTAATATTGCTTAGTCAATAGGAATTGGGATAAAAAGAAAGGTAGCCTGGTTGGGTGGGTCTATAATTCAAACAGCCTTCTTTTCGGGGATGTCCGCTAAGTTCTAAACAGTTGTAGTCACCCCTAGCACATAAAGAGCTTTGAATAGTCAGGGTGGGAATGGCCCCCCTGGGAAGGATTACAAATGGGTGGGAAGCTTGGGACATAGGTTCTATTGTAACTTTTCTCTCTTCTCTTCCAAGACCCCACCAACAACTGAACGCTTTGGCCAAGCTGCTACAATGGAAGGAATTGGGGCAATTGGTGGAACCCCTCCTGCATTCAACCGTGCAGCTCCTGGAGCTGAATTTGCTCCAAACAAACGTCGCCGATACTAATAAAAATTTCAATGTCTAGTTTCTCAAAAACCCTTTAAAGAAGGACCCTTTTTGGACTAGCCAGAATTCTGCCCTGGAAAAGTGTTACGGATTCCTCCCAATAGTTAGGTCTTCCTTGCCTGTACTACTCTGAGGGAGTTTGCTGGAGGCTGAGGGCAAGGGAGGGGCGATATTTAACAAATCAGTTCAGTGTGGTATATCGTTTAACTAATCGATTCTGTGTGGTGCATTCCTGAAGTCTCTCGTGATTGTTGAGGGCCTGGGGTGGGGGGGGAACCATGGCAAAATGGATCCAGTTAGAGCCCCCATTAATCTTGATCATTCCATTCTTTGTCCATCCTGTTCTATTTGGTTTCTCATTATACCCTTCAACCCCAGAGACACTGCCACATACACCACAAAAACAAATCCCCCAATGACCTTAGCCCCATTGTTCCATTCATTCACAGGTGGGAATTCAGGCAAATGTCCACAGAGGTCACAGACAACATACATACGGTTCTGTTATATCCCATATATTACCCCTTCATGTCCTAAGGAAGACATTTTCTCTTAGAGATTTTCATTTTAGTGTATCTTTAAAAAAATCTTGTGTTAAGTTGCCTCCATCTTTTTTCTTGGGTTTGGACAACCCAGGAATGGCCCTTTTGTGTCTATGATGTTGCTGTTCACAGCTTTTCTTGATAGGCCTAGTACAATCTTGGGAACAGGGTTGCTGTATGCTGAAGGTCGGACAGTAGCTCTTAGCCTTGCCTATCTTAGGTAGTTATGCTGTGCATTTTTTTTTTATTGGTGTACCATGTTTGATTTGTCCCTGATATCTTTGGAGTTTTTCTGAGAAATGGAGCAGTAATACAGCATCAACTTATTAAAATACGTTTTAAGCCTTTTAAATTTCTGTGCTATTTTTGAAAGGGAATGGAGGGAGGGGAGTTCTGTCCCGAGATAATCATAGGTTCCATGAGGATAATCCTTTATCACCTTTTGCTCAAAAGTATGTATATCCATTTGGGCAAACTTGGGAGGTTGGATGCATACTATGGCTTATGTGGTTGACAAAGATTGGTGCTATTGGTATACAGAAGCAATCAGGATGAGCAGAAAGCTGCTGCTTGAAAGAGGAAGAAAATGAGCTGGAAGAACTGGGATACCTTCATTGAGCTGGGAGGGGTCTCGGAATTGGGATTCATTTCTGAGCAGCTGCTGGTATGTCAGAGGCTTGGAATTGGCCTGGTAAATCTAAAAGTGTCTCAGCAGTGATTAGCTGACCTCACCCAAGTTCCAGGTCCTAGTCTGCCTGATCCTTTTTTCTTGAGCCCCAGAGCTAAAATGCTCCTGAGCGTGCTCCTATTGGTTGAGAAGACCAACTAAAGTTCCCTTGCCCATGTTAGGAGGTGTACGCCTCCTGAACTAAAGATAGAAACAGCTGGCCCTTGCAGGCAGCTAAAAGCCTCCAGACTAAGAGGTGTTCCCCACTCGGCAGCCAGACTCCTTGAGATACCCTTTCAGTAATTCTACCAACGGCCTCCATGTCTCTACTCTGCCGTAACAAAGGCTGTGGGCAGCACTTTGACCCCAATGCCAACCTTCCTGGTGAGTAATTCTGACTTTGCCAGGGGGCTCTTAATTGCTGGGGGAGTGGTCAGCTGTGGGCAGAATGTTAAAGGAGCAGAGAAATACAGTGTATCTGCCCTACTTTTAATTGGGGGGTCTTCAGTTTTATTTTTTATTCTAAAGAAAAATCATGAGCATATAAATCTGGGGAAGAAGTAAGAGTAGTGATATTTGGTATAGTTGCCTTTCCTTGATCCTTCTGCTGGTATCCACAGATTCCTGTTGCCATCACCCTGGGGTCCCAATCTTCCACGATGCACTTAAGGTGAGGAGTAGGCAAGAAGGGATAGCAAGACCATTTCCCAAAGGAAATATACCCAGGAATCTAAGCTGAGCTGGGTCTTTTGTTACCAGGGTTGGTCCTGCTGCCGGAAGCGAACTGTAGATTTCTCTGAATTCTTAAACATCAAGGTAAATTATTTATTTCCTTGGATTCTGTCCCTAATAGAAGGATTCTATCCCTAATCCTTCTTTCCTTATCTATACTAGGGCTGTACTGTGGGACCACACTGTGCTGAGAAGCTCCCTGAGGCCCCTCAACCTGAGGTGCCTGCCACAAGCAGTTCACTTCAGGAGCAAAAACCTCTGAATACGATTCCAAAGTCAGCAGAGACTTTGCGTCGGGAGAGGCCCAAGTAAAGAGGAGAAAGTCCCTGGGTTTTTCCTACATTCATGGAGTTTCCTAGAAGTGATTAATGGGTCACTGGGGCTTGGGGACTAGGGATATGAGATGGGGCAAGTGTCAGGGTTTTGTGTATATTTTATACCTTGGGGGAAATTTGTATCCAGAAATAATGTCTTTGCTTTAAGGTTGGTGTGGGGGTGATGGGATAGGTGTTTAGAATCAATAGAGTAGATAGCTCCTCATAAATACATACTTAGTTATAATACAAGAGAGATTGTTGAGGATGACCTGACTTTTTTTTCATTATGGAAAACGTTAAAATGAGTTTTAGGTCAAGAAAAAGATGCAGTATTGGCAGCCAAGAGGCCGTAGAGAATAAACTAATTTTGTGGAAGTAGCATGAAGAACAGAAGAAAGTCATGTTAGGTCCACAATTAGAAGAGGATGAGGATATGATGGGAGTTCTGCAGAGCAATGTTAGATTGAGAGCAACTGAGTAGATGGGCAGAAAAGCTCTAGGGATTTCCCCAGGGTTCAGGGACTTGGGATGTCCACAAAGAAGGTTATTGGCAATGGAGTTGCTACTCAACTTTTCCAACCCTGCCACCACTTTCACCAGATCTCTTTGACACCATTACCACTGGTGGGAGTGTTGGAGCTGATGATCATGGTTATTGGGTCAGAACTAAATCACCCCACCCATACCCCCCAGGTCAGAGTTTCCTCCAAAGCTGCTTCCACTAAATATATCCCAAGCCCTGGAAATGGCATTGGAACAGAAGGAATTGGACCAGGAACCTGGAACAGGTAAGTGGGTCCTCAGTAGGACAGGCTTTGCAGACTGGAATTTAGTGCAAGTGGCAATTAGGTGGAGGGAATAGATAGGTTCCTGACTCTGTTTCCTTTGCCTAGGACTTGACAGTAGTCTGATCCGGACTGGTTCCAGCTGCCAGAATCCAGGATGTGATGCTGTGAGTGAGAGCTTATAGGGGGTACAATCATGTAGCTGAGAGATACTATACCTGGGATGACAGATATGAGGGTGTGTGGGGTATACTTTAGAATGACCTGATTCTTCTGATTCTTCTTTACCCATCTTAGATTTACCAAAGCCCTGAGAGTGATGCTACTCCATGTACCTACCACCCAGGAGCACCTCGATTCCATGAGGGGTGAGAGAGGGGACTGGGTATGGTCTATAAGACCAGTTTCTCCCACTGTTGATAAGGGGGGCATGGGGGCTCATGGGGAGGGGAAAAGAGATTCAGTTGAATTATCTTCCTACCTCAGGATGAAGTCTTGGAGCTGTTGTGGTATCCAGACCCTGGATTTTGGGGCATTCCTGGCACAGCCAGGATGCAGAGTTGGTAGGCATGACTGGGGGAAGCAGGTAAGCCCCAGCTTTCCCAAACTTTTGATTAGAACCCAATTTCAGAAATAATTTCCCCTCCTTGTACCTCATGGCCAAGCTCTCTAACTCCTCCCTTTTGTACAAACCAAGTAAGATTCTGTTCCTTATCCTCAGCAGCCTGAAGGCTTTGCAATATGAAGTAGTATTAATCTTTTCTGAGATTCTGTGTCTCTTTAGACACACCTGAGAACTTTCCTTGGGTTAAGCGTTCGTTCTTACCACACACATTTCACATCTTCTCTTTAGCTGCCAGCATCTTGCCGTCATGATTGGCATCAGACAGAGTCCTTAGTAGTGGTGACTGTATATGGCCAGATTCCACTTCCTGCGTTCAACTGGGTGAAGGCCAGTCAAACGGAGGTGAGGAGTTGTCTGATCCTGGATGGGAGGCTGGTGAATTGGGTGATACTACAGTTTTACAGGCAGAGTTGCTGTATGCAGCGAACATGTGGGCTCCATAGTCCCCTGAGAGGAGGGTAGAGCTAGTAGGTCAGGGCTATCTGGCTGACCTGTGGATATAGGGCTCACACCTCTGGGCTGGTTCTCTTGTAATAACTTGTTCTTACCTTCTGGGATTGTTACTACCCCTGTAATTCTTTCCTCTCAGCTTCATGTCCACATTGTCTTTGATGGTAACCGTGTGTTCCAGGCACAGATGAAGCTCTGGGGGGTAAGTGAAGATAAGGGACACAGGAGGGGGAGGAACATGGGGTGAAAGGAAGGGCCAGACTGGAATGAATAGCGGGTCTCTTGAGGGAAGGAACTCTAGTGGGAAAGTAGAGGTTTTCTCTTCGTTTGCTTAGTCTTTCTCTCCCTTTCTCTCCCCTTTTTCTCTCCCCTCCTTCTTCTCTTCCTCCTTTCCTCCTTCTCTCTTTCTTATTATCTCATTTTATTCCTCCCCATCTTGTTTTGCCCACCTTACATTTGTTTATTTTTCTTTGTCATTAATTACTACCCCACCCTCACCCCAATCCTTTTGATTTCCTCATTTTCTTCTTCTTCTGTGTTCCTCTATCTTTTCCTCCTCCTCAGGTCATAAACGTGGAGCAGAGCTCTGTCTCCTTGATGCCATCTCGGGTTGAAATCTCCTTGGTCAAGGCTGACCCAGGATCCTGGGCCCAGCTGGAGCACCCCGATGCACTAGCTGAGAAGGCTAAGGCAGGGGTTGGGTTAGAGATGGATGAGGAAGAATCTGAGGATTCAGATGATGATCTGAGCTGGACAGAGGAGGAGGAAGAGGAGGAAGCAATGGGGGAATAGTGACACCAGTCAAGTATCTAGATAAGACCTCAGTGATTCCCTTAGAATCTCAGAGACCAGGATATGGTTGGCCATGTGGTGTCATTGAGCAACAGCAGGCTGAAGGAGGGGAGAACAAAA